TACTACTGCTGCTGCTACTACCACCACTACTACTACTACCACTACCACTACTACTACTACTACTACTGCTGCTGCTACTACCACTACTACTTTATCTTCATCTTTAACTTTAAATGCAGGTTGTATGTCAGCTTGTCAAAGCTGTTATATTAATGTCACGCTGCTACGGTCTTTTTAAACATAATCCCCTGTTTCCATTTCTCTGTGATAGGTCCAGCGCAGGTGGTTATTCCTTATGCTGTGTGTGTGTGTGTGTGTGTGTGTGTGTGTGTGTGTGTGTGTGTGTGTGTGTGTGTGTGTGTGTGTGTGTGTGTGTGTGTGTGTAAAAGCATCAAACTCTGCATAATTTACAGCCTGTTTTTTCAGCATCCTTTAGCGCTGCATATCTTCAGAAAATGGGGCACCACAGAGTATGTATGTAGCTTGTTAAAGGATCAATATAATCTACAGTTTGTATAAGTTGCATCTAGAAGCTTTTGCTCGATATAAAAGCTTAAGTGACTCGGAAACACACGACCATTTTTTGATTTGTATTTCATTGACAGTGTCCTGGCAACATAAACCGTCAACCCAACATCTGGCATCAGATTTCGATTCCAATGTTTACTTTTTTACAACTGCGCCTTGCATTTTTCAAACCAGTGAAAAGCACACGAATACAGAAATCTCTTGTGAAATAGCCAAAACTGTTCTGACTTTGACAGAAATGTTTGAATTCATGTCGTATCTCCTCATTCACAGTAACGAGCTGATAGAGAAAATAGGATTTTAGGGCCTTTTTAAATTGTGGACCAGTTCCAGAAAATACCAGTTCAGAGTCCCTTCATCCTTTAACTCGGAGCAGTAATCATTGCAGCATTTCTGATTAACTGTGCAGAACAGTAATACAAGCCTCCTGGTGCAGAATCGAGGCACGGTTAACTGAAAACACTGCTACATTTTACATGCGTCTCTTGTTTTTTTGTTTTCCATTAAACGCATCTGATCCGTTTAACGCACATATGTTAGCACGTCGGGACGTGTAGGTTCACAAAACGCCGTCCTTGCTTTCCCAAAAAACGGAGGAGTTAGAGAGACAGACACGGAGCGAGCAGGCTTGGATACCCTCTCCAGCAGCGCAGATGTCACTAAATAAAATATTTCATAATCCTGCCCAAATCCTCTAATCACCATGACAACAGGCAGCGGGGAGCCAGAGAGTGGTGGTGTGTGGACCCCCCCCTTTCTCCTTTCTCTTTTCCCTCTTTCTAGTGGAATTTGGGTCCACACTGTCCCATCTTCTCCTTATATTACACTAGTACTTAAAGAAAACATCTCATTGATTTTATGGAGAGTAACAGTGAACTGGCTCATTCTGACAGTCAAGATGGATACTCCGCATTCCACATTACTGGCACGTTTCTAGTTTCCAGCAGTTTCTCCTTTTAAAGGGCAATCGTATCACAACTCGACAGCAAGGACAAAGAAAGAAAAGTCAAAACGCTCACTCTGAGAGGACAAACCTGGAGACGACCACCAGTTTGAATTTAATTATTGAATACCTGCTGATTTAGTTTTTGTTGTCTTTAGTGTCAGAACAAGTGTGTAAATGGTGTAAACTGTACAGAAGGTGCAGAGACGCACACACTGAAGGCCTGCCTGCTTCTCTACGGTGATAGGATAATAGAGGTGATGACCTCATGGGGTGAAAGGACCTGTTGCCTGGTAACAGTGTGGCTAACAGCGAGAGAGGGGGGTATTCATATCATCAGCATTGTGAGCGTGTGTGTGTGTGTGTGTGTGTGTGTGTGTGTGTGTGTGTTAATGATTTAGCACTCACACACTCACTTCCTGCCGCGGGATGTGTTTCCTACATTTTCCCGATTCCTTTGCAGCTCACTTGACTGTGTGTGCCCGACATAAATAATGAACTCCCTCTTTTCTCTCCCTGTCTGTCCTGCAGGTATTCGGCCCCAGATTATGAATGGGCCTATGCACCCGCGCCCCCTGGTGGCGCTGCTGGATGGGCGCGACTGCACCGTGGAGATGCCCATCCTCAAAGATCTGGCCACAGTGGCTTTCTGTGATGCCCAGTCCACACAGGAGATACATGAAAAGGTACAAGAATAACTCCTCAGATGTCCCTTTTTCATCTTTAGATTTTAGAAAATGCAGCATGCCATTCTTATAATAACAGGATTTCATTACCTCCGTTTGGTTTTTTATATGTTTACATTCGTTAAACTGTTACCTGCGTCAATAGAATCTTTAGCATTGACCTTTTAACACTTTATAAAATGAACCTCCATCCTGGCATGGCTCTCAAAGCCTTGTCCAAAATCTTATTATTATCTAGCACCTTTCAGAAACAAGTCTTAAACAAGAAAAACACAATTCAGTTATTTATTATAAGACTTACTTCACAGCTTCTCCCTCAGAGTTGTCTCTTCCTGCACATAGTTTCTATGTAGCTTATGCAGAGTTTTACATTACAACTGTTTTAAATTTACAATGTCTTTGAATGCAACTCACAGCGAAGATGTGCAATCGGGAAGTGAGGCGTTGTTTAAAAGTTTAATTTACAGTGCGTGTTTGTAAATAGTGTCAGAATAGGTTAGAGACCACATCTTATAGTACTCTGAAGCAACATCATCAGTGTGTGTTGCTTGTGTTGCTGTAACAGCACACACACACACACACACACACACACACACACACACACACACACTGTGATATGGACGTAATATGAACTTTGAATGTGATTCTTGAATAATTTGCCTTCAGTTGAGCGCAGAAGAATCTCTTTCCTCCTCCTGCGTCTCCTCCTCTGTAATATTTTAATAATATTTCAGCCCACTGGCTTGTTCCACTCTCCCAGTTCAACTGTAATGGTTTCATCACAGACTCTAATCCCACTGGGTGCTGAAGTGCTGCTTTGTTAAATAAGGTGGAGGGGGAGGCTGTTAATAGAAATGCCGTATAATTGTTCTGAGCCAGAGTGGGTGAAACATTTGTCTTATTTTACTGCACATACACCGGAGCCAGTCAGCAGCAATTCTACAATCCAAGCGGGAGAGTTTGCATCTTTACGCTCAAAAAGAGAATTCCACTTTACATTATTTTATTTTAATGAAAATGCTATCTTGCACTAAATTCTCCAAATTGTCTACAATACAATTTTTAATCTACAATAAAAAAAAGTAGTTGGTTTTACTTTCAAGCCAACCTAACGGAATGAAATTTAAGGTAAATAAATAAATAAATGAGTTTTTATCTAATATTTTTTTCTTGCTCCCATCATTTTCATACACATATAAACACACACACACAAGCAATATCTGTCCAGTAAGATGCTCTTGTAGTGAATACATTACACATACTGAGGACCCATCTGGGAGAAGAGATGTTGGCAGCGTTCCCACAACTATAACTGCACAGCAGAGGGTACAGATGGGGCACTCGACACACACACACGCACGCACACACACACACACAAAACCTCACTGCAAGTTTCAGTAGGGAAGTACTGTTCACATACAAGTTTATAAACAGACTCACACACCAAGCAAGCAAACCAAAGCACACTGCTGTCTTTTTGTATGCGCTGCCTGGAAGTGAGCAGATGCAGCGATTAAGGAATCTGTCACTCAGAAGTCAGTATACTGTTTTACTTGTGCTCTCAGAGGGCAGCTGCATGCCGGCGCTGACCTGCAAAAACATTGTGGCCCGCGTTGAGTTAACCTCAGAAGTCATTTATTACACGGCACTTGTGGTCTCTTATCTAATACGGCGCTGTCCTTGGAGAGACACAGAAGGAAGACTTTCAGATAAAATGTGTTTTTCAAGTGATTTTGACATTGCTGTATCAATAGCCACTCTTCTCACGAAGTGCTACTGTTTTAGTGTCGAGTAAAAGTGCACTAAAAATCTCAAGCACAGTTTGAGGACGTGATGAAGAAGATCACGTGTATGTCATGCAGAAAACATTACATCAATTGGGGCATTGATTATTTTGTTGTTGCATTTTTGGGCCTTTATGTGATATTTGACAGTGTAGCGTTGGACAGGAAACATGGGGGGGGGGGGGGGGGCATCGTATTGAACTATGGTCCTGAGCTGGAATTGAAGCAGAGACGTTGCACTTATGTAGCATGTGCCTTATCGGTGCTTTGTGGTTTTAATAATCTTAAATTTATGAGTCATGAAACTAAATATGAAAGTTTATAATGGTGGTTCATGACTTTCATGTCTGCATTCAAGCCCCCCTAACTGGCCCTTAGTCACTCTACGCTGAGGAAGAAGAACAGGAGGGTGATTAACATTGTTGTTATGTTTTCATAAAATTGATCAAATACTATATTGTATTAATCAGTATATGGTATAGCATTTGGGCAGATATTCATGGGATAGTTTGATAAGTATTAAGCTAGAGCTCGCAGGCGGTTAGCTTAGCATAATGACAGAAATCCGTGGGAAACGCACTGAAAAACTCAAGAATATGCCCACCAACAACCATAAAGATCAGTATTTTATAGTAGTAGTTTTATATGTAGTTTTATACATTCACGCTATGTAACCTCCTCTTAAACCACAACTATATGTCAATGCTCAAGTATGTCTTTAAAGCTTTGCAAATGTTCCATTACACAGGCGTGAAATAACTTAATAAGTGCCTTTGTCAAGCGCTTTATGTGCTTTGCAATATTCACGATCCCTTGCTGTAGGTAATAGCCTTGTACGAAGCAATGTAAAGGTTCACATGCCAGCTCAAACTGTGCACGAGTTATTTAACTAATCAACGTAACGCAAGAACCCCTTTCCTCACTTTTTCCACTCCATGTAAACTTGCTCTCAGCTTGCGTTCCTGTTGCTTAACAGTTGGCTGTGATTCCGTCTCATTTTTCCTGCCAAGCCTGCTGCCGGGCCTGCTTCGCTCAAGTAATGAGATTAATGCACGAGGAGCGCTTTAACCTTGAATTAAGCATCCAGCTCTCTCGCTACAGCTCGCTCCAATAAAAAATGTTGCATGGAAATTCATGGCTATGCTAATCTGGCTGAGTTAGGGCAAATCAGTAAGCCGGGTTGTGAATTAAACCTGTTATTAAACAGCCGTAGTTCTGGGTTTCTCAGCAGCTGTCAGTCTACTTTATGGTCCCGCCTGCTTCCACTTCAACCTTGTTTGCATATAGTTTGAATGAATGGATTGTGACAAAAAAACAGCTTTGGCAAGCAGTCATTATAAACACACAGACAAGCACTCATATTTCAGTGCACGCATAAACAATCAATTTGCATTTAGATGAAGAAAAGCGGACATGAACTTAGGAGCAGGAAAAAGGAGGCAGTGAAAGCTCTCTTAATCAGGTTTCTCATACACAGTGTGGTGGGAAAACCGGTGGATGCAGATTTCCAGTTTGCTTCCATCTCTGATGCCTCTGATGATTGTTGAGGGACTACTGATGCAATAAGACAGCGATGATGATGATGATGATGCCTCCTCCTCTCCCAATGTCCCTCAGGTGCTGAATGAGGCAGTAGGGGCCATGATGTACCACACCATCACCCTGACCAGAGAGGACCTGGAGAAGTTCAAGGCGCTGCGCATCATCATCCGCATCGGCAGCGGCTACGACAACATCGACATCAAGGCTGCCGGGGAGCTCGGTGAGACTGGGGGACAGATGCAGAGAAAACGAGGAGGGGAGATAGATGTACAACGTCAGGTTGTTCACAAGCAGACAGTAATCATATGCCGAGAATAATGAACAAGGTTAGGTCCTATCTGCCCATATGGCTCATCCTTCAGCACCGCGTGAGGGAAAAAATACAGAATAAATCAACAAAAATAATGCATTATGGATAAGGATAGTGTGCCGTTGGATGGGAGCCAAACTAAACTCTTGCTCGCTTTATTGACTTAACATAAATAACATATGTCACAGGAATTATTACATACTGTTAACAGAATATGTAATGCTGATTGCATATGCAGAGCAGATGCTCCAACTGATATGAAACTCGCCCTAATATTCCCATTTGGCCCCTTCGGCATATGTTTGGTATGAGAGCAGGATTTAGTGTGATATCCTAATTATTGCTGTTTGTGGCGATACATTTTAGTGCACTGACAGGGATGTTATTTTGAGAAATGCACTTTTCATGGGCATAATTAGCAGTTTTAATTATCCTCTTATCCTTCACTGTTCTGTTTTATACACAGTGCATTTATATTTTTTAGAGGGTCATAAAGAAAAGAAATTTCCTGCCAATTATTTTGCGGAATAATAAACTGCAGATGAATCTCTCTCAAAACAGCTACAGTAATAATAAGCAACTATTATAACTATTAAATCTGTGAAGCAATTATGTTGCGAGTCATTTGAAAGGATCTATGTCATTGTTTCTTCATTTTTTATCTGACCTTTTTTTCCCAGGCATCGCGGTGTGTAATATTCCCTCGGCGGCTGTAGAAGAGACGGCAGACTCGACGCTTTGTCACATCCTCAACTTGTATCGGCGGAACACGTGGCTGTACCAGGCTCTCCGGGAGGGCACGCGGGTCCAGAGCGTGGAGCAGATCCGGGAGGTGGCGTCGGGGGCGGCCAGGATCCGAGGAGAGACGCTCGGCCTCATCGGATTTGGTGAGCTCCTTCTTTCTTATAAGCACTGGAATCTTTCTTTACGTTGACAGCAACTGTACCTTTATTGTGTTGTAACTGTGTTTCCAGGTTGTCAGTTTCCCAGTTAACCCAGATTTTTGTTTTTGTCAAATAACTAATGAATTATTAAATGAATCCTTTCAGCGGTATCACTCATACACACACACACATGTTTTAGTGCACATGGTTGGATTTAGTATTCAAATCTGAATTGTCTCTGAGTCCGTGCTTTCTTGTCATCTCACGCTTCCATCAGGTCGCTCGGGCCAGGCGGTGGCGATGCGGGCCAAGGCATTCGGCTTTAACGTGCTCTTCTACGACCCCTACCTCCAGGACGGCTTGGAGCGCTCTCTGGGCGTTCAGCGAGTCTACACGCTCCAGGACCTGCTCTACCAGAGCGACTGTGTCTCCCTGCACTGCAACCTGAACGAACACAACCACCACCTCATCAACGACTTCACCATCAAACAGGTAGGGAGAAAGAAGTGAATTGTATATCTTAACCTTTAGTGATAAAAGATAAAGACATGGTGGGAAGATTCACTGTAATCAATTTGTTGACATGGTATGTTTATGCAAAAACACCACAACTAGTGTGGGTCGCCAACAAAGCAGTCAGCAGGCATGCAAGTTAACCAGCCATGGTATGAATCAGCAGCTAAAGTAACCACAGCATGCACTTCAACCCCAGATGTAATGTTTTTTTATGCTTTGTTGATCAGTCCCTTCATATCATAAATACAAGAAACACTCTTGAGTTATCCTCTTTCTCTTCTCCTGATCACTGCTGCCACCTGGAGGGCATACAAGTAGCTGCTGGCTGTGTTAAATTCAATACTTTAATAACTATTTGAAGCTGCTTAAACCGGAATATGTTTTCACTTCAAGTGTTATTATATTTATTTTGTTATTAAAGAAAATCAAGTTAAAGACAACCTATGTTCGTCTGCATCATCGCTTACGTGCTAGTTTCTCGTATACAGGGAACAAGAGCTTCTGTGAATATGAAGGGATTAGTGTCATTTAAATGCCCTCTTTCTTTGAAAAGCTTTTTGTTACCTTGTCAGTCTTTATTTGAAAAGCATTTGTCCCCCCCCCCCCCGTGTTGAGTTTTTAGAAAATGTCTTCCCACGCAGCATTGAGTCAACGACAACACCTCGAGGGGTGCAATCTCAAAGCCACACATGTTGATTGCAGAAATTATTGTTGAGAGAATAAAATGTCTTGCTGTGCCGCCGCGTCTGTAGATGCGTCAAGGTGCTTTTCTGGTCAACTCGGCCCGGGGAGGTCTGGTGGATGAGAAAGCTTTGGCTCAGGCCCTGAAAGAAGGTCGGATACGGGGAGCCGCCTTGGACGTCCACGAGACTGAGCCTTTCAGGTGTTTATGATCACACCTTTTTATTCAAACGGCTTTTGTTCAATTGATTCAATTCACTGATTCTTGGTTACAAGAAATGTTTCCTCTCGCATCGCTTATTTACGTTGTTTCTCTTTTCTGTCATGCATCTGCTGTTGAACACAGTTTTTCCCAAGGTCCTCTGAAAGACGCCCCCAACTTGATCTGCACACCCCACACCGCCTGGTACAGCGAGCAGGCATCACTGGAGATGAGAGAGGCCGCCGCCACAGAAATACGGAGAGCCATCACTGGTACGGAGACGTCCCTGAATGCATTCCCACACTCATAGATTTGGGTTTTTCTGCTCACCGATGTTCGCTCTTGCCCCCGACACAGGCCGTATTCCCGACAGCCTCCGAAACTGCATCAACAAGGAGTTCTTTGTTACCTCTGCACCGTGGGGCATGATGGAGCAGCAGCAGCAGCAGCAGCAGCCTCAAGTTCACCCTGAGATGAATGGTGCCACCTACAGGTAGGAGGGGGATTTATGTGAATGAACCCAGCAAGCTACACCTGTTTCACATCAACACCTGCAGTAAATGAGGCTTAACACGCGCGGGAGGGAGGGGTAGTCTCGATGTTCACATGATGTATGTTTGCCACAATTCTGACTTTCTGTTCCTGAATATTAGGCGTCTGGGTCCTAGTTTTTGTGGCGCAGTTATACGTAGAAGTTGGCCCAAAATGAATTAATCCCTTGTTGAGTTCAGGCTCTTCGTTTCTCAGTCTCTATATTGTCTCAACCAGAATGAACTGCTTCTCTCACACAGCCGAGTGAACCAAACCATGGTACAGGCCATAGCAACGGGGGGAATGCAGGACAAATTATATACCTAATTCTCAACCAGGTAAATGAATACTACCACTGCTGGCCCACAGGCCAGAGAAAATGAATAACATCATTAATAAAAAAACAAACAAATCCCATTGAAATCTGTAGTCCTTTTTCTGCTTCACACTCGCATGTCCTGTAACTGTACCCACTGTACCCAGCATCTCCTTAATTCCCCAAACCCCCCCCCCACCCCCACCCCCACCCTGAAACAGAAACACAGCTCACCGAATCACTCTAATGTCGGACATGTTGAAACAAGTGTTCATACATTTACAGCTACATCTGGAAATCAAGAGGAAACTAAGTAAGAAGTGTGATCAAAAGAGTGCAATTGCTTTTTTTGTGTAAATAGAGGAAGAGGAAATAGAGTTACGTCGTTGAGGGAAAGAAAGGAAGGGATTGAAAATCTCTGCAACAAACCTGGAATATCAGTTGTTTTATTTGCTATAAGAGTCACCGCTACACTTCTCCTTTCCGCTCCCTGTAATGACGGATCAGTTCACCCAAATTATGAAAAAAAAACACACAAAAACAGCTCTCTTACTCGGGACACTACTTCTGGGAAGAGATGTCGCCAGCGCCAAGACTTCCTTTTCCGTGTGCTGTTTGTTGTTTACACTCCGATTAGCAACTCGAGTTGCGAGACTGGAGTGTTGTTTAAAGACGACTTGTACACCCAGATTGTTTCAGTGGGTGTTCAAGGAGCCAGTTTCCAAGCTAATTTTAAACCAATAAAAAGCTAAATCATCGCCAGACGATAGCCGTTGGGTTCTGAGATTGCATTTCGGGCAAAGCCTTCCTCCTCTTTTGCTCTCCACACACACCTAAGCCTGCTCGAACGTAATTAGTCACCACTACACAGACTACTCACAGGCACCAGAATGCTAAAGATGCCAACATATTGTCCCATTTCCTTCCAGATTCTGCTTATGAATGCAGCATATGTTTACAGAGATAACCACGAAACAAACAAATGTTTAATCCAACTTCAGACACTAATGATTAGGAGCAACAAATATCAGTTCAGCTGTGTGGTGGGTAAAAAAGTGTAACTGATGAATCAGCCACTAAGCAGCAGCAGATGTTTTCCAGGATTTTGGAAAATAGAAAGAGTTAGTTTTAGTTAAACAGCTTTCCTTTGCTCACCTGCTAATCATCTCCTTTCCTTCCCCAGAGTCCCTCCTGGTGTGGTGGGTGTCGCCCCTGGCGGGATTCCCGGACCTATGGAGGGGTTGGTGCCTGGGGGAGTGCCCATCGCCCACACCCTGCCCCCCGGTATCCATCCGTCACAGGCCACCTCCCCCAACCAACCCTCCAAACATGGTGACCACATGAGAGAGCACATGACTGAGCCGTAGGGCTGCTGATGTAACAGAGCCGATGTAAACACACAAAAAAAAAAAACAGCAACTCAACCATCCAAGTGTACGCTTGACTTCAGCCATCTGAACCTACCAGCAGACCGCCTGCCGGGCAACGTTTCACACGTTTTCTTTTTTGTATGAAACCACTTACGCCCAAGTGAGGACAGTGGGTGTTATTACACACATGAGCTGCCACACCGAGATGAGACTGACCATCAAACTCATGCGCCGAAGATCTGAAACCTTTCCTCCCACATATCTGTTTTTGTTCTACGTTGATTTAAGTGATTCTGTTTTTATCTCTGTTTTGGAGTATATTTTAAGGGGAGATTCCTCCTGACTTCTGGGACATGTTGACATTTGCACGTGCAGGACGGACATCTGACCCACACTCCCTTTTGTTTAAAGGAAGAGCTTGAAGAGACAGTGACTTCATAAACAATCCGCCAAGCCTCCGCTTCCCCTCCTCCCTTCGTCAATTACACCCATTTCAGCGCAAACATGTCTGTTACTATATCTTTTTTTTACTTTCCTCTGTTTATCCTATATTCTGTGATTCTGTTGCAAGTGAATATTTGTTTTTTTCTTTTCTTCAGTGGGTGAAAATGAATGGATTTATGTTTAGCAGATAACAAAAGTCAGCTGATGACAACAGCAGCATCTGCCGTCTCCAACAGAAACCTGGACTCCACCATTGCTCATTTCTACTTGTCGTGGGTTGGTGGCCCCTGAATGTAGAGACACGATGCAGAGCAGTAGATCCGGTTTCCAGCTGTAGGAAGAATATTTCGGCTTATGAGGTAAAATTACCATTTTAAACCAAAAAAAAGAGGAAAAAAAACAACTTGTCCTTTGTGGTTAGATACTGTACATTAAGTGTGTCACATCAATTAAATATTGCTGATAAGACTTTTCTAACTCTGCTGAACCGAGGTACCTACAATATTTGGTTATTGTCATGAACAGTGTCCCAAATATTATCTATTTGCATCCAAAGGACCTACAACACAGTACACTGCAGCACCAGCTCGCGAGTTAGGAAAAACAAAAACAGTAAATCTCCGACTGACTCAGGAAAAAATGATTAACCTTCAAATATGTCCAAATCTAAACAGAAAGAGAAAAAAAAACGGGATTATTGCTTTTCATGTCTCCACCTCTTTCTCCATCGTGATATTTTTTTATATATCAAATGTACGTTTTTGTTGATGTTCAAGGTTTTCAGTCCTGTCCGATTTGTATTGCCTTGTTAAATGTTCTTATAATCATAGTCTTATGTGAACGAGCCCACCTTCTCCTCTTTATAGTTTCTTCTGCTTTGTTTTTCTGCTCTAATGAAAGCCAGCTGTGGCTCTCAGAGTGCCCTCTGTGAACAGCAGCAGCTCACATCCATCCCTTTTAGCCCAATGGAGTTAGCGAGAGACAGCTGCTAGCAGATTGTTTGGTTTTTAGTGCGAGTGTTTGTATTTGTTTCTTGTACAAGGTGAACATATAGCATACAGTGCAGCTGGAAACAATAAATAAAACGTACTGTTCTGATTGACGATTGGCTCTGTGGAACATTTGTGGGATATTCATTTTTTTTTCAGTTATTTAAAAGATGCTTAAAAAAATCCTCTAAAAGAGGTTTTTTCAAAGTCTGACGCTGTCAATGTCAGTTATGTCAAAAAATATTTATTGTGCAACAAACATAAAAGAAGTTCATAATAATGGATTTTGTCACTCCTATTATTCTTTCCTACTTCTATTTGGTAGATAATCCTGCTTTAACTTTTACCCATAATTCTTGTTAACAGGAAGTGTGTTTCATAAGTCATGCTGAGTTACTTGAGCCCTGTTTTTTTGCCTATAATTGTTTTGACTTTTTACATCATGCTATACTATGACTTTTTTTTAAATAAAGTAACTAAAAAAGTAACTTTTAAAATAAAGTAGCTTTTAAAATAAAGTAACTCAAAAAGTTACTTTTTTGAACATGCTACACTACAACTTTTTTGGACATTCTATATACTATGACATGTACTGTGTGTGTGTGTGATCAAATATCCTAATGTATTATTACAGCCAAAGAGAACACTTATCAATCATTTATTAACTATTCATTCAGCTGTGGATGCTTCATGGGGCTACTTGTAATTATTGACAAATACATTCATACTAAACACTTTAAAATGTCCTTATATCTGCTTACAACTACGTTATAGTGTGTTTAAACAGTGTATTTGTTTGTATACAGCTTTAAAATGCTAAATAGGTAAATAAATAAAACAAGTCTTAACTATAAAAATTATACAATTGACCCATTTCTATTATGGTCACACATTTAAAATCCAGTAGAGGGTGCTACAATCATAGACACGAGTTAAGTTAGAAACGCTTCAAAAACTGCATAATTGACCTACTGTGAAGGCAACAGTGATATCTAAAGACAAAAATCAAATGACTTGATGGAATGTGTTGAGTTTTCCTCATCAGTAAATCACAGCATAAACTGATAACTAAGAATATCAGACAGGAAACAGCTTAGTTGGACATTCAAAAAGAGTTTCCTTTATTTTTTTTTCCTTATTTTGCCCGTTCATTGCGTTACACTCTGTATAGTCAGGCCTAAATCCGCAAACCAACAGTCACAACTGCAACTATTGCATAAATACAAAGCAACATACAAGTGATGCTCAAAACGTGTATGACTTGAATGAAACACAAAAGAAGTTACAGAACGCAATGGCAAGAAAGACAAAAAGCAAAACATTCACAGCAAAAAAGTGTTTTTTTTCCTGTCAGCTTTGGTTTCATATGTTGCAGTCTCACAACGACCTTAATCAAAACCATAAAGATGGGTTCACACACTGACAACAAACATGAATTACAGAGGAGGACTGACATGTACCATGAGGGTGAGCTCGACAACAAATGCTATGTGGGGGGAAAAAAGGGACAAAGACGAAATAGGAGACAACGATGAGACAAGTGGGACGTGGGGGTTCATGTCTCAAACCCGCCTGCCCAAAAAAAAAAAGCACCAGATTTCAGGCATCCAGATGAGGTACTAAATCACATGCAACAATGCAAGTAAACTTCTCACTGATGGTCCTGATTGGTTCTTTCTTCACAGCAAGTGTTTCTGTGCAACGAGTCTTCATCAAGTTTGAGAAAATAATTAACAAAACCACAAAAAGAAGAAAAATAAAAACACATACAGAAGAAAGCTCTTATTAGCTCATATAAGTTTCCAAATAATAAATATGTCGAGTAAGTTCAGAGAAGAAAAAAAAGAACACGCACACACAAGTTCTCAGTTCAATCAGTCTGAAAAAACGGTAAACCAAAAGATCCAACATGAATGTTTGTGCGCTGAAACTTAATGAGTGTAGATTTGACTTGTGAAGGGAAAATCTCCCTTTTCAAGAGCTTCATATAAGACCTTAATATAAGCAATGATACTGTATTTATATATAAATGTTTTAATAAATGTGCAATGCTTAGTAATAAGGATTTAAGTCATTTAGTATTACACAATCTCTGGTTTTCTAAAGATAATGATATTTATTGGCTTCGTCCCAGCCCATTCAAAAACAAATAGCTAAACAAGCCAACTCTTAAAACATCAAAAAGTTCAATTTGGAAGTGTGCTTTTGTCAGTGCCCACACTGAACGGATATAAAGTGTTGATTTGAATCAATGCTGGTATATTTCCTTATACTCTTTTTAAAACAACCACATGCATTTACATCTATGGATAAAGAATCCTTTTTTCCTTAACATTTGAAAATCAAAACAAATCCAAAGGTTATTTGCATTTGTAAACAGTTATCCTCTCCCCAAATCTGTGTTTGGCAGCAGTTGAGTTGTTCAGTCTCCTCTTTGTCCGAGTTAAGTGTTCGATGTGTTTTAAGCGTTGCCTGCGTGTGCTAGAAGAGTAGCAGTGTCTCCTGTTAGAGGTTGGGGGCGGGGGCTCGTGGTTCCCTGTCTTCTCCTGAAGGCTTTCACAGTTTGTCCGTGTAAGGAAAGGAAAAAAAATAAAATAAAAACTCCCCTCCCCGCGCTTCAGTTCTGTCATTCGTCATCGTCGTCTTCCTCCTCTTCGCCGTCAGACAAAGAGGCACAGGGGCAAATCTGCCGGTAGCCGTCTAGCCACTTCTCCACCATCTGGGTCACGAGCGGGTGGTTGCGGCGGCGGGAGCTTTTCTGAAGAGCCACCAGAACCCCGCCCTCCGTCACACAGCAGTCCAACCACTCCCGCAGCAGCTTCTCCTGTTGCTCTTCATTACCCATCTGAAGAACACGGGGGAAACACACAAGGCCATCAGAGGGAGCAATATCACTCGTCTAAGTCGAGGATATCACGTACTCCTGCTGAAGCATCGTCTCTTAAACTAGCACTGACACAGAGGATGGAAACCAACCGATTTCATAACATCAACCAAAAGATAAATTCTCAAGGACAAACAAGAATTGTGTAGACACAGTGGGGGAGGTCCTTACTTCCTGCGCTGAGAGGAAGTGAATGTGAAGCAGCTTCCTCTCGCTGTCGACCAACGGCAGGAACGTGACGGTCACATCGTCGTCTGTGTTGAGGTTGGCGCCCGCGCCGCGATTGTCGAAGCCATCGTTCTCCATGGCCACCAGTGCTGAAAAGTGGCCCCGCGTGTAGCCCAGCGCGATGGGGCTCTTCCAGCAGAAACTCTGCTCCCACAAAAGGGGCAAGTACACACCTGGAGGGAGAAGGAGAGAGTTTTAATAATGTATTATGTGTTTATGATCTAAATGTAAAGTTGGTTGAGGGGACGCTGGTTTTAACATACTTATATACTGAAGGGCTGGGGGTGACTCATCGAAGTAATTGATTACAGAAATACGGTGATTTGCATAACGTTGCAAATTATACCATGACGGTTTTATGACATGCAATACTATAACTTTTTATCTGGCATACTATTCTATTGCATTTTTCTGACGTACTATACTACGACATTCATACCATGAAATATATTTTTATGACATACCCTACTATGATTTTATAAATGACATTTTCTTGATACTATGATATATTTATGACATACTAATACTATGATTTTTTTTTATGACATTTCTATGACATACAATGTAGACTGGCTGTTAGAAGCAGCGGGCAGGTCTTTCACCTCGGACGTTTCATTTGACTTGCACCAATCGGGCTGTTTTTCTAACGATGTACTGCTAAAGGTTTCCGGGCAGAACTCGCACAGAGTTAGTAATTAGTCTCTTCGTCTTCTCTCCAGCTTCCTCTTGTCCATCATTTATAAGGCAATGAATCGCATTTGATTTGTTTGAAAGGAGCTATAAAAACTATAGAACTATGGAATGCCCACAAACGAGAAGAGGTCTGTTCTCGTCTTCCAGTAACTCTGTTTTTACTGGGTTCACTTGGTCACCATGTTAACTGAGCTCTCCTCCCCCTCCTCTATAGGCAACCATATACACGCCTCCTTCTGTGTGTTTTACATCGGCTCCTGGCGACAGTGAATCACGGATCCATCAGGCCGGCTTTACTACAAGCAGTTGGCCATTACAGAGCACTTTCATCATCCCCTGTGCAGCATCACTCAGCAGACAAACTGAAAGCAGGCCGTTTTACTGCCCGCCGTAAACGTCGACCCGGCTCTCCAAACTCACGGGATTGTTTCTGATGGTTTACACATGTTCACATCTGTCTAGATGTGTGTGTGTGTGTGTGTGTGACAAACTCAACAAGTTGACTTTTTAGACATACGTGGTTCTCACAGGACCGTGACGCTACAAACATGATGATCTCATAGAATATTGTAGATTAAACATGATATAAAAGGAGTAAAAATTAGAACAACTTTACACATACAGCAGTAAAATGCAACATTCATAGGAATGCAGCAATAATATTAATCCAAAAACATAATACAATATATAATAGTAACACATTGACAGGGAATATTCTTATGCGTAATGAATAATTAGTTTGAATTTCATACTAACTGACTAAAATACATTTTGTTGATGATAATTACACAGTATTACTTGAGTAACATTTTGAATGCAGGATTTTTACCTGTTTAGGATCTGTAATTCCTCTGCTCCAATGACAAGTGTGTGTGTTTTGTTATGTTGTTTATGTTATTTCTAGTCACACCGTACTTAAATACCATCATCACTAGCCTGATACATGTTGTAAATAGCAATTACCGACAGTCCAGAGGGGCAGTTATGTCAGCTATTTAAGATAAGGACACACAAAGGAAGTCTCCTTTCCTGCTGCCATAATGATATTTACCCGAAACAACTTCAGTCCAAACAGTCCAATAACTCCTCACCTTGAAAACGGGTGTAGCCGAGCGTTTCACCACGGAAACTTTTGTAATACTTCACTCCATAGACGATAATAGGCCTGCGAAGAATGTGTGCAAGAACGAAGATGTGGGTCTGCTCCAAGCTGGATCCTGGCTGTAAAAGAATATGCGACACAAAAGGGGGATAAAAATAGTTAGAAAGCCGGGACTCCGTGAAACTACAAAGCAAGGATTATTAGATATACTGTACATTCCAGACGGGACGCACATTCAAAGGGAATTACAGATTAAGTATACTGCGGTAAGAGCATTAAAGCATCTTACATAATTCATGCATCGTTATTATGTCACACTCTAAGCACATCAAGATCCTGTCCAGCATGTTAATGTTTGTCTTCATGTGCATGTACCTGACTAGCCAGGGACAGGATGAAAGCCCAGTCCTCCTGCCACTGTTCCTCCCGAAGGGAAAAGTGCAGGCCAAAGCTCTGGGAATACCACGACTCCCACTCCTTCCAGCGGGTGTAAAACCTGCACACACACGCACGCACGCACGCACGCACGCACGCACGCACACACGCACACACGCACACACGCACACACGCACACACACACACACACACACACACACACACACACACACACACACAC